AGACGTCCCAATTCTGAGTTTACGACTACCAATGTAGCCTTGTAATTTTGAACCCAATCCAGAAGACAAGGAAACTCCTGAATTGGGGGGAAAATGCCTTCGTGAAAGACTTTTTAATTGATTTAAGACACATTTGCGTTACATGGAGAGGAAAATCACCACGGTTCCCTTCCACAGTTAGCCTGACGGCAAGAGGACTACAACCCGTGCTCAGTCTACCACTGAGGATATTTTTCGTCAGCACTGCAGTTGGCGTGAGACAGGAGCAGAAATTGTATCGATCAGCCCTCGCTGGGATTCCAACCCGGTTCAGTTCATTGAACAGCAAACGCTCATCTCCTGAGCAACCACAGTTCTGGGAGGCTATCTTGGGCATTTTGAGGATTACTAAGTTTAGATAAATCTATATTGGGAAAAATCGGTTGTCTCTGATAGTTATGATGCCGTAAAGATGGGCCCTGCTTGGGAAGAATGGTTCTTGCCATAGTATAGACAAAGAGAACAAAAAGGTTCCAAATGTGATAAGAATGAAAAATACAAAAGTGAATAAGAATACAAGTGAATATGTATTAATTGGGGAGGAAAAATGGTTCTTGTTTTATTCGATTTTTAAATTTTACTTTCTTTATCATTAAAAATTGTAAATTTTGTTTCAAATTTTTTAAGCACTGTAACTAAATGCTTATTTTAACATTCATACATACTTTTCTTTTTATGATTTCAATTAAATGCTTGCTTCTCTGAATTCTCAAATATTGAAATTCGATTTTCTCAGAATCAGCTTTCATGGATATAAACCCTTTTTTCCTCCTGATCTTCATATGTTTAAGGAAAATCACTGATTAATCAACCCATTTGTCGATTTAAAGGTGTTTAATGAGCTACACTCGGGATATACTTCGATAGGCAAACTCTGCATTAATAAAGCATAACTTATTTTTCTCTAAAAAAAAATTTAAAACTTTATTCGCTTAAAGATTTTGATTTTATTACAAAAGTTATGAAATTAATTAATGTATGCTAACATGAATGCATTATTAAATATAATTTCAAAAATTTATTATGATTATTTTAGAATAACTGTATTATAATAAGAAGGCGATGTGTGGCTCTCTATGTGTATATCTCCCACCTAACACTAGAATTGTTGAATTGGGGACTCCCAATTCCATAAATAGTTCAAAAGCTATTAATTAATTATTCGGAAGCTGTGGTGGCTCAGGGGATAATGCGTTCGCCTCCCAATGAGGTGAACCAGTTTCGATGTCTAGGGGTGGCTGATGGATACGAATTCTGCTCCCAACTCACTCTGACCACAGTTCTGATGTTAAATAACCTCAGTGGTACTCTAATCATAGATTAAAATCCCCTTAGCATCAGGTTAACCTTAGAAGATTTTCGTGGTTTTCCTTTCGATGTAACGCAAATGCGAGTAAGTTCCCCAAAAAAAAGTTCACCACGTAGGTTAGCTTGTCCCGATGACTGATTCAAAAGTTCCCTTGTTTTCTGGGTTTTGTTCAAAATAAGAAGGCTACAGATTTGAACAGTGATAATCGTAACCTCAGAATTGGGAATTCAACGCGTGTTATAAAATGAAATAAAATTAACCCATTCATTAACCACGTAAGAAATTAATACTCTTTGTAGTTTTACTTTTGGCATTGTAATAAATAAAACTGTAGATGATTTAATGATGTTTGCTAGCTTATAGCTCTGTTTACTAAAAACCGGGCTTCAAGTTAAGTTTATTGCAGGTTCTTCAATGTTTATTTACATTTGATCGATTGTGTTAAGCACCTACCTGTTCTCTTTGAGACGGTTGACAGATTAGGCCACAAGTCTCTTTTCCAAACGCCTCTGTTCTGAGCTAGTCATCTTGCTTCTTCCCATTTATTTAGTTTTGCTTTACTCAGAGCTTGGTATATGTTACATGTATTTTCGCCAAGTTTTAGTCTCGGCTTTCCTCTTTTACGTTTCTCTTCGGGTGCTGAAATAAGGATGATGTTAAGAGAGCTATACCGTTTTAAACGAGGGTATTTCCTGTTCATCTCCATCTTCTCTTCAAAATTGCCTCATGAATGGGTGATAATTTTGCCCTTTTTCAATCCATCTGTATTTGAAATGATGTTAGACCAGAAGATCTTTAAAATCATTCTTAAGCATTTATGAAATGCTTCCAATTTTTCTGTTTCAGTTTTGAAGAGGTTCCAGCATTTTGAACCATACAAATATATTTAGTGAACCGAGAATTAAAAACATTTATTTTTGTGCCGAATTTTATATTTAAAACTCGCCAAAACTTTTAAAGATTTCTGAAACAGATTTTTATGATTCTTTGGTTTATACCAGCACTGCTGCCTACTTTCTTAGTTATATTTGCTCCAAGGTCAAGGTGAACGAATCATTTTATTCTATTTTCTCAGAATTTATATTTTATTTTAAAATTAGATTTTACTTTTATTCTCTTGGTTTTTGTTTAATTCATATTAATTTCCAAACCGATTTGATTCCCATCTTTTTTAACTGTTTTCTTTTCATAAATCTAAATGAAATAAGAACTATGTCATCTTTATAATCACGATCTTGTAGAGAGGTTAAGTTCTATCTGAATCCTCTTTTTCCATTTTTCATAATCCAGTAAATGGCAATTTTGAGTAAAAATCTGGATAATACGCATCCCTGTCTTAATCATATGTTTAAACATCAAACAAACTTTTAAATAGTCCATCTACCTCGATGCATACCTTACTTCCATCATAATATCTTGTAATTGTCCAGGTGGCCGAGCGGTTAGCATTCCTGACTGCTAAGCCAATTGCTGCGGAGAACCCAGCACAGAACATGGATGTTTCTCTCTGTGTTGTCCTCTGCTATGTGAGAAGCGTGAATGTGGCCCACCCTATAAACGGATATCTGTATCAGTGTTGCCTGGGTAATGTTGCTCACCTAAGTGACTTTGGTCACAAAGTGCTCACCAGGAAATGCAAAATGAGCAACACTTCCGGCACCTTTTAAGGCGAAGAACGATAAGTTCAGTGCCTGTCATTTAAAAAAATGGCTTTTAATGATATTTACGAATTTTAGTTAGACAGGAGCTGATAAAAAAAGTTTCCGGTTAGTATTTACAAATTTTGAGTTAGGAAGCTTTCTGAAACCTCATGTATATTTTGTATAAAGTTACAACTTTAAAATGTGTTTCAATAAAAAAAGTTTCAAAAACTCGTCTCATCCTGTTTTATATATTTTTAGTTTGTAAAATTATAAAAAGTATGTTAAAAAAAGTCGCAAATCCGACTAACAGTAAACACTAAAGGTGAGATTAAAAATATTAAAAAAAATTAATCCTATATGACACCTAAAGGTGTTTTCAATAACTACTTTTCTCTTCATCTGTTTGAAACTCGACAATCAAATATTTTCCTATGTAAATTTCACCTTCCTCAGAAAGAATTCCGTTAATGACTATTTTCATAATATATTGAAGTTATAATTCTTATGCGACTTCCAACAAGGTTGCGTTAAGCGTTTAACGCTACATTTTTATTGGCCGGGAAATCACGTGGTAGGATCCAGTTTTCCCTCATTCATTTCCATATTGTTTTGGTTCTCACTAGCATAAAAATAATAAAAGTCATAAAAGTATTGTTTTTCTATAAATATTTTTTTAGTTTGTTTTGATACACATATAATTTAATAGGGTAGTATTTTTTATTTTCAAATTTAGTGGATAACAATTGTAAAAAATGAGTGAAAACAATCCCACGGACAATGCGACGGATTTAAGGTTATGTCAAGGTACGTCTCTTGTGAATATCAATTGATTGTTAGGTTTTCTCTTTTGAAATTACATTATGACGCATTCACATACATTATTAATACAAATACATTTTCCATGGCGAGACGATGAGGCAACCACAAGCACTTCCACTGGTTCAAGAGGTCCACGAGGGAAAAATGCACAATATTACCGTTATTACAGAGCACGGAAGCGAGCGGAGCAGGAAAAAGAGTCGTTGGAGAGAACTAGTGATCCTTCTACGACTGCTGATTCTTCTACAATTAACGTCGCAGGTTACGAAGTTTAACTTCTTCCCCTCGGAGGAACTTCACGCACTATTTTTTTTTTACTTAAATGTTTATTTGAGGCCTCGAATTTTGATATTTGCTTAACTTCATATGTCAAAAGTATTTCTAAAATGTATTATAAGCTCAGACATAACGAAAAACAGTGCATAATGTTGAATTATTTTATTGTTATATATTATTTCATATCTTAATTTTTTGGAATAAGTATTTTATATTTCTGTAAATAAATCTTTGCGAACATTATCCTACTTTTGGAACTAAAGTTAATGAGATGTAAAGTGCCACCTCATCTGTTGCGCGAAAAATAAAACTAACTGGCAAAAAATTTGAAATTGAGATATTTATATGTATGGCATCTTCGAATGATAAGCTACATATTGCAACAACAAAAAATTATTATTATACGGTATTAATACTAAAAATTATGTTTTATTAGATTTATACTTCCGCAACATGTTCCGATAAAAATGGATTTTACGGTAAAAAGTTCTGCCACCCTGAGTAACGGTTTCTTTTTGCCGTCATTTGATTCGGATTTTTTTACAGTATAATTGTATTTGAAAGCAATGGTAGGTTCATTTAAAAACAACCAAAAAAACACATGAAAGTTGAGTAAATTTTACAGTGAAAAAACAGAAGCAACCGATTGAATGGAGTGCGCGCAAGCTGAACAAAACTCCTTGCAAAATGAGGGTAAAAACCTCCAGTAGTCAAGGTAACAATACTTTTTATCGTCATATTGAATGAAACAAAATAAAATCTTATTTGTTATTATTACGTATATTTTAGTATACAATTATATAGTTTTTTCAATAAATTAATACAAGTGAATAGTGCTGTTGTCAAAAAACTTTGTGGTCCTTTTTTACATTTGCGATGCAATTATGGCTGTCCAGTTCACGCCTTATGCGGCACGGTTGAGTAGATAATCAGATAGTCTATACAATAAATCAGATATCGATATGACAGATGAACCAATCCAAATTCCCAAGAATCCACCAATGTTGCTAAACAAGTCAATTGGCTAAAAATATTAAGAAAAGATGGCATTAAAATACATTATATCAAAAAGCTTAACACAATATAATGAAATTATTATGACGACCTCCTCAATACACTGTTGGACCACCTTTAGCTCGTGATGCTGCTCGAATTCTTCCTGTCATAGATTCTATGAAATGTTGGTAGATGATAGGAAGAATTTGAGACCATATCCATTGAACTGCATGTTTCAGTTCCATCAGATATGACACTGGATCCAGCTGTCTGATACCCACAAATTCTCAACTGGATTGAAAACTGGGGATTGTGTGGGCTAAAGAAGTAATGTATAGTCACCACCATGTTCTTCGAACCATCTGACGACAATACGAGCCGTATGACAAGGATCATTGTCTTGCTGAAAGCATCCATCCCAGCATCATTGTATCAACTCAATTTAGGAGGAATAATCGAAATTACTTGCTAAATAGTCGACTATGGTATTGAATCTATAATTAAGCCTAGCTATGTACTGAGATCGATAACTAAGCCTAGTTTGGCTTCGCTGTCTGTCATCATAGTTCGTAAATTAAAAAATTACGCATGTTTAAAAATAATGTTGATAATTGAGTAAACTTACATAATATATGCAGCTGGAGACTTCTGTCATCGATTCTTACGTCACTAACACAAGTAAAATTCTAGCTTACCTTCCTTTTCTAAGATTTAATGAGCACTCAGAAACGCCACCTATCGTACAGCTTATTCCTATCCATGTATGGCGTAAAAACATCTGCCTATGGTGTATACTTTTTCAATTATTGGTGTTTAGATTTAACTATTCCCTTTAAAATGTGTATCAACGCTCGATGTGACATTTAATTTAAATAAAGTAATCTTTAAAACAGTTTTGAGAGTTTTCAACATAAACTTCTGAAATATATTAAGCCACAGTTTTTAGTGCATGTCTGTTTTTTAAACTAGTTTTATTTTAAGAATTAGTATATATATCCATCCTAAACTAATTGTTCTTACTTTATATTGTATAGTAAAATAAAATTACTAATTCTTATTTTACAGTAATTATATATTTAATTGCAACTGAATATCAAAAATGGTTTTAAGCCACTTTACACAAAGTAGTGTAAGAAAACTTTCTTGATGTTCAATACACTAGGAACTATCATTGGCTCTTAGTATCGTGAAAAGTAGTTGCTATCTTTTTGGTGTTAAGATAAACCGAATTTTTTTGCAATTTAGTTTTAGACCATTTGTTACAAAATACTATTTGGATTATACGGCTATCCGTCGTGACCTAAATCACCTTTGAAAATCTACTATTCAACGTTAGCACTTTAAAAAACTTACTAATACTTCTAAGGGTCCTCATTTAGTGCTCGAAATGCCTTCCAGCCATTGAAATAGCGTTTTTTAATCATAGTGCAAACAGCAATACCTCACTTGTCTATACAACAATATACGACATGCATACAAAAGTATACTATTTTTACACAAAAATACCAAATTTTGCAGCCTTGTAAATTTGAACCTAACCCTTAAAAGAAGAGTACTCATGAATCAAGCATCAAAACACACATTTTGAAATTGAAGTTCTTTTGCCAGTTCAGTGGATGTTTTTTATACATAAGAAATATTACTTACCACCATTTTTGGAGCAAACTTAGTATATCTAGCCCTCATATTTCTGAATGATACAGAGACCAATGATAATTGATTACTAAAAAAGTAAATGATAATAAATGTTGTTTTCATGAAGGTACACGTGGAAAAAAGCGAACATCTTTAATAACGTTTGAACGAATGATCATATAGTCACTCATGGGAGTCAGTCGTAACGATTCAAAGTTTAGGCACAAATTAATTTTTTTTATTCTTTGAAGTAGAAATTGATACTTTCTCTGACCAAAGATTTATTTTTAATTGTCAATTTTAAACTTTTAAACGACTGAATTTGGAGTAAAATATTTATACGCAACTCACACTTGTTTTAAAATGTTTAATTTTCATTCATTATTCTTAATCATTGAAAAGTAACTATCACCTAAAAAAAAAACTAAGAACTTTGTCGAGATGTAGAAAATGTCTAATGCAAGATTCGAAATTTAAAAAATAATTGTAATGATAATCTGAAATAAATAAATAAATAAAACGTGCGGGATGTCGCAGGATTATTGGGATAAGTAGTAAAAAGATGTAGGGGGGACATTACAAGGATTCAGAAACGTCAAAACGGCAGGAAGCGTCTTTGTTTACCGCTAGGTGTTGTTGCTTACAAGAGCTTTAAAGGAAACTCATCTGCATTGCCACCGTGTCTAAGAAACTTTGGTCCATGTTGGGTCACTAGTGGCCGGTCCTCACTATACTTATTACTTTATGATGATCTAAATTCTTGGCCACATTTTTGTGGTAATCTCTTATGTAGCATCATAAACTTGGAAACATTATAGTTTTTATTAAATTTGTTAAGTTTCCTTAAGTAATAATTAATGTAACAGTGAATGGTTAGTTATGCTTCAATTATTTATTCAGAATAATTTTCTATTTTCTTGGAAATAAAAATTTAGCTCCGAAGCAATCATTTCGATTTATTTGTAATTCTTTCTAAAATGGCTGTAGAAATTTCAAACACAAACAGTGCTATGATGCCGCATACTTTCATAAAAATTATAACTAACGCTTGCCGTCTTATGGCAATATGTATCTATCTATCTATCTATCTATCTATCTATCTATCTNTATAAATATATATATATATATATATATATTTCACGTTTGCAAACAACTTTCCGAATGCGACAGCACCTTTGCGTTTTGTCTTTGAAAATGCATTTTTTGATAAAAATTGTTTGCTTGGGTGTGTACTATCACTGCCTAAAATTTTGCCCATCTTTTTCGAATCACCCTGTATATATATCTACATTTTTTCTATACATACAGATCTTCGACAATATCGCGGACATCTTCTCTTGAAAATAGTTAAAATTTAATTCAAAGTAATTCCATCTGGGGAAACTCATTGGTGATAGATAGACGGTTAGAAAATCTGGGTTAATATATTGTTAAAAATTAATTAAGATGTTAGGATTCAAAAAGTAGTTGAATTAGAATATTTAAATATAGTTTTCTTGTGCATACGGCTTGACTACAATTAAAATTTATAAGTTCTTCAAGATAATTTTGAAAGGGTGACCAAATTTGTGGCGAATGATGGCTAGTCAAAAAAATATACACAAAAAAATTATTACTTCACTAATGGAAGACAATGGTTTCTAATACAATGCTAAAATAATTTTCATTCAAAAGCCTAATTTTTATAAAAGCTCTTAATGTATTGTAAAGAGCAACTGAGTGATCTGCATTTTTAATTAAAATAAAACTTACTAGAGATATTCGTTAGTGTTGTTGCGAAATTCCTCTGAACTTCCATATGCCTAAATTTGAAACAAAGATTTACTTTTTATCAAAGAAGATCATCCATTTACTTTTTATTCAGTACACAGTTCAATATTTGAGTTTAATAAGATATGCACTGCCCAAAATGCATGGTTAAGAAAATGGGCACTGGAGACGTTGGTTTTTCCTATGTTCAATCCAAATTTAACAATTAAACAAAGAATTTCCAATTTACTGTTCCTTACTTCTAAAAACATTAAAGATAACTATTACGGGGGAAATTCCCTGGCTTCGGGGTGGAGGTGGCTAAGTAAAATACAGGTTTCATTTTACAGTTGTCTCATCGCATTCACAATAGTATATGGTAATGTCTTTTTAAAAAATATAATTTCATACAGTGTCAATTTATAACACTATTTCAAACTTATTGAGCCCTTACAAAAATAATTGTGACTTTTAATGTCTTTTCAAAGAAGACTAATTTTTGAAAAAAATATTACTAAGCTATTTAGACAAATGAAAGGCGTAACATAATAACGAATTTATCTGAATCTATTTCATTATTCTTCAAATAAAAAAAAATTCATAATAGACGTTTAAAAAACGGGATTATCTATTAATTAAACATTTATTAGCTATTTTCTTAAACATCCATTTCGAACTGCGTACATTTTCTTAAATACGCATTTCGAACTTGATACATTTTCTTAAACATACATTTCGAGCTATATCAATTTACTTTAACAAGCATTAAAAGCGGTTTCTATTTTCTTAAGCCAGCAGTTTAATCTGTGTCAATTTGCTTGAAAACACATTTTGAGCAGTTTGCTATTTTAGGGCTATAGCATTATAGCATTTTTTATTGAGCAGTCTGCTATTTTCGTAGTTTCAGAAAAGTTTCTTGTACTTGTTAAAGTTGTATTTATCTTTAAGTTTACTTTTAGATTCCATCAAGAAAAAACAGTTTAAAAAAGTAGGCATATTAAAGGGACGAATGTTGATATTTAAGCAGTTAAACTACATCAAAATTTATCGAAACTGTATTGAGAGAGGTGGTATTAAAAATACAAAAACATGTAACTGATATACCCGAAAGAAATAGAACATGAAATGCGAGCTTTGAAACTTTTTCAAGTTTTATTCAACAATCAAATTAAATTTAATATTTCTTATCTCACTTTCAGTAGTAACATTTCATCAAATTTCAACTAGATATGTTGATGATTTTCATTAATCATGAAATTTTATCCCGTTATATTTATACTTCTTTACTTTAGTTTTGGCATAGAGTTAAGAAATGTTTATTAGGTGTTTTGATTATAGTTGTAAATTGTGTAGAATACATTTGCACTTAAATATCTCAGCAAATTATCTATCATATTTTTTACTAAGTTATGTTACATTCAACACATTTTTCCTAGAATAAATATATACTATTGTAGAGTTTATTTTGAAAATTTACTATTATTTTTTAAATGAATTACACATTTTATACAGTGGGAAGGAATTCTTACCTTTATTACGTTCTCCATATGCTTGTATTTGTACATTCGAGACCTGTAAATATGTTTTGAAATTGTATTAAAGATATTTGAGAAAGTTACAAAGACTCTGAAATATAAACTCGTTGAAGGAACATAACTATTTTCTCCCTTAAAGTATGGGGGTAAGTACAATCTGGAAATAATGGCCTCAAAAGGTTTTGAAAAAGAGCTGTCAAAATTTCAGTCCCATATTATGTTAATTTACTTTTTTTTGCCCTAAATAGTATCAAAGGAATCTCATTTTTAAATTTTAGTATCTAAAGTATTATTAAATCAGTTTTATTCAAAATAAGTAGGTAGGTACTTTATTTAGGTCTCACTATAGAGCTGCACAACGGACTATTGGCGACCAGTCTGGGAAACATATTTGAGGATTATCACAATTCACATCGCAATTTTGATCCTCCGCAGAAGGAATGGTACCTCTGCTTTGGTAGCCCAACGACCTTCCCCTCGAAGTGAAGCCCTTTGCAGTAGAACCATTTAACTACTCTCTTAAAATGAATGAGTGAAAATAACTCAACTTGAGTGCTATTTAACTCTTTCATCTAGATAAAACCAGCCTTCTCATCTTGAGTTAAAATCACTCAAGTGAAAGAGTTATATGGAAATAGCTCAATTTGAGTGAAAAGAATTTCACTCAAACTTGAGTTATTTTCACTCGAGTTTGAGTGATTTTCAGTATTACCTGAGTGGATCGTTTTCACTCAAACTTGAGTGATTTTACCTCGTGATTGAGTGATTTTCAGTATTTCAGTTTGTAAATTGCAGTCAAAATTTTTACTGTTAATATACAAAATATTAGTATTTAGTGGTGCCATCTAACGTAAGCGATGGAAAATACTATAATTTTTGTTTAAAAAAATTCCTTTCGAAAGAAAGCCTTAGATACGAATTTTTTTATCATAACTTTTGTTGAATTTAAATATCGAATTAGATAGTATAGTACTTGTGAAAGGTTTTCGCTGTGAGCATATCGACACTGTGTATCCTGGGATTCGAACTCGCTTCCCGTCTGTCGTAAAAATCACCGATTTACCCTCTCGGTAACAGCCCTGTGTCAAGACGGCTACAAAAAACTAATTACTTTTATGAGCTGGGTCTTGTTGGTGAGGATAAAGTTTTTATTTGTTAAATCAAATAAGGTGAAAACACAGTTAAAAAAAATTTTCAGAGTTGACAGTTTGAATAGCAGCATTTTATGGTTATCCAATTGTTTTGATTGTATACGGTAAAACAACAATTAAATGAATTATTACTTAAGAATTTTTTTTTTTACGAAAAATTCCTAACCACTATAGATTTGAGTTTTTTTTCTTTCCCCTAAGTTTCGTTATTTTTCTTTTAAGCTTAATTTTTAAAAGTAAGGAGTGCTAAATGAATTTTTAAAGTAAGCAGTTTTATAAATATTATGCTCATTTAGGATCAATTGATGAGTTATTGATCACTATGAGTTATTTTTTTTCGAACAAATTTATTCGTTTAATTTATAAAGTTTTATTTTCAAGCAATAAAAAAGGTATATTGTTTTAAATTGCCTAAATTTTTTTAAGACAAATTTCTGAAACTAAGTGAAATTAATAAATTTTTGAAGAAGACGTTTGAAGCTAAAAAATCTGGATTAAATACCCTTTTTCAAACTCAATTTTGCAAACTCTTTTGATATAAATTTGTTTAAAATCAAAACTGCATATTTGTTTTGATTAGAAAAAAAAGTATAATTTTTGTTCTGCAATAATCCCAGCTAAGTATGAATTCGAATAAAAAAATTAAGTAATTAACATTAACTACTTAACTTTACTTCAATATTGTTTTTACCATTAACTTTGCTGAAACATAGTTTTCTTAAGTCAAAAAGAAATAAATAATAAAAATTAATAAAAAGGGCATTTTTTAATAAAAATACTAAAATACAGAAATATATTTTTTTTCCAATGGCAGGCACTGAATTTCAATCTTTGTCTATACTATGCCAGAATTGTTGCTCATTTCGCGTTTCCCAGTGGGCACCTGTGAACCAAAGTCGCGAAGGCGAGCAACATTGCCCACGCCACACTGCCACAAACCCGTTTATAGGGTGGGCCACATTCACACATCATATACACACATGCAGTCAGACGCGCTAACCGCTCGGCCACCTGGCCAGCTATACAGAAATATTTAAATACCTAATTTTAGGCATATTTTAAACTAATTAAATTGTATCGCTTATATATTATAAATAATTACAATTAAATCAAGTATGTATTTTATGAATTTTAACTATTATGAATATAGATAGTGTACGTTATTTCCGTTATCAATATATATGTTTAGAATTCTTACCTAATTATAAGAAATTAATCTATATCAAAAAGAAAGAAAAAAGAAAAAACATTATAAAAATTTCATATAACAGCCAGGAAAACAAGATTGAAGACATCAAACTCTTTCAATTTTTCAACAATGCAAAGTAACTGCAATTTTTCTGCAGATTCATTAGAAAGTATACTTCTGAAACAATGACTGCATAATAACTTAAAATTTACTGCAGAATGACCACGGATTTAAAGTTTCAGTTTTTTCTAAATTTATGATTTTAAAGTGACCTCACTTAAACTACAGTACTTTTGTAGACAATAGCTAAAAGTTTTTTTGAAATAAATTATTGAGAAATTACTTCGCATTAGCTGCAAAATAACTGCAGTGTTTTTACAGTTAAGATTGCACTACAGAAAATTTGCAGTTAACTCTAGAAAAACTACAAAATTACTTCAGTTCAATAGAAAAACTACAGTTTATTTTCAGCTGGGATATAAGTATATAAATTCAAATTGAACTATATCTCATAATAAATATTATTTTTAATTCTTCTCCTATTTTTTTACTATTAATCTATAACTATTGCAAAATTATAATTTATTTGCATTTTCAAATACTTTAATTAGCATTGTACTTTTAATAAAATATTAATTTTGCATTTTCAATTTTGCCTCGACAATTGAACTTGAAGAAAAGTGGTAAAAACTTTTATGCTAGCAACAATGGAAAAATAGTTTGTATAATGTGATAAATACTTTATGAAATACGAAGATAGCATTAATTCTGCATTCCAATTAAATAAAAGCTAAAAACAGGATAAAAACAGAAAAATTCAAAATGCTGCTTAATTTTTTTAAATATAATATTTAACAATTTTTCTATGAATGATATGTTTATAAAAAAATGCATTGAACATCTGAAGATTCTGATTTGAATGAATGGATGTTGCAAATGTGACCTTTCATAAATTAAAGACAGTCAACTTTATTAATAGAAAGCAATTTAAATAACAGCAATTATAGACTGTATGAACAATAATTTCGTAAATATCTTTTATAAAAGAGGTATAGAATGATATGAAATTAATTATCCAGAAATGTTTTGTACCAAAATTATACATCAAAAAAACTAAAACATGGATATAAATTTATTAT